GACATGAGTGGACAGGGGTAACTCTTACTGAACTGCGTTTTCTTGGCGATTAGAGTGGTCATTCCTTATCTTCCTATTCAGGCCATAGGCCCTTCCTTTCCGTATACTATCATAGTCGCCTCTTTGATCAGTAACTATATGTGATTGTGTTTGATGGCGCCAAATACCGATAAGTTATTCCCGTCCATTTCATATCACTTACTTAATTTGTCTGCATTGCCGAGTTTTATCTCTGCTAGACGATGAGTGGCCGTAAAGATGTAAGACTGTTGCATAATATGACATTTCCACTGCCAGTACCGAAATTCTCATTTTTTCCGTTAGAAATCTTTTATTTCTTTTAATCTCAAGATTAGTTTAAAGCTTCATAGCAAAATTCTGAATATTTCTCACAACTAATTTACTCCAGCATTTCCTTCTCCTCCACTTCGGAATGGTTTACTGAAATTTAACTTTTGCGACTGTCACGAGGACATTATCACCTTTGATGACATAATAAAGTACCTTCGAGTGTTCTAAGTAATTATTGCTCGCAATTGCAGCATAATGGCTTGTTACGCAACACTTGAACCAACTCTACCTGCGGAATCAGTCTTTTCAGTAATTTTAATTGCCACTAATTGGATCATATAATGGAAAACATACAACTTGTAAAATTTATTTTTTGTAACAATGTCAAATCATTGTTATGTCTTATACATTTAACTGATTCTTCGAGTACTTTTCTTTATTGTATCAGCTCATATCTTGTATTGAATGTTTCGAATATTAACATACAATTAGATCGACCTGCGCTTCAGATATCATTTCATTTCAATCTTTCTTGAGACTCAACAAATTTCAACGACCAATGAATACCGAAATCAAAGCCTCCACTCAAATAAAGTGCGAAGCAAATACCGTAATGAAGAGACACCAATGCAAAAGTATCGACTTTTTCGGACATTTCAAGATTTATGATAATTGCGCAAATTTGAATTTTCTGATTTACTGCAGCTTCACAGCAACGTACTTTTTTCCACCATCGTTTGCTAGTTGTTCCGAGGGAGTTAGGAATGGAGAGAGCTAATTTTTTAAGGAATGAGGTAGATTAATCAGAATGATATCAAAGCTGAAAACCTAGAAGTATTGATTATTACGAATAATTGGCCCTCCTAATTTTTAAAAATTAATAATTCGATTCTTGCGGTGAAATTCCAAATTTTAAGTAGATTTTTCTTTTGCTAAATCACAAGAGAATTGCTATATTATTTTTGTGTTTTATATTTTCCTTTCTTCTAGTATTTACTATACGGACAGAGAATATGTCTTATCAGTTTTTACTTGTGGCCAAGAAAGATGTTTGATCATTTGATATCCCAAAAACATATTTTCAAACTGTTAAAAATGCTGTCCATATTTTTACTTAGCTAAGTTGCTAGGCTATTAAATTATTAATCCCGTCTGCTGTAATTTAAAAACTTTAAGAGTTCAATTTTCCTCCTCTCTCCGCTGCAAAATATAAATGAGGCTGAAGACTGTAGACTGGAAAGAGATTGCATACTAAATAGCGTATGCTTGAATAGTTTTTTCCGATTTATAAAATGCTGATGTTAATTAGAGTTTTGTTCAAAAATTTATTGATTTGAATTTTGTATAAATCTATAGTTAAGTTCTTCCTACATCAGTTATGGATTGTGTTAAATGGCTTTATTGAAAAAAAGGATTGTCGTTTGGTTTATTTCACGAACCGATCTTTTGTGGTTGATCATCAAAGTAATCATTGTTGTATATTTGCTTCCTTTCACTTATCTTTTATTTCATGATACTGATGGATAAGATATCACACTGTTATCATTAACGAAACATACACAATTCATTTCAGGCATGACATGAATTTTTGATTCGTAACTCTTTGCTAGCATTAATACTATCAGCACTTAACCATGTTACTTTAACACAGTTATGTTCTGCTCTACTTCATCCTTATTTTAAGTATTACTTTTTTTTAGTCTAATTGGATGAAAAAACCTGAGCCATTTTTTAATTCTTTAAACTCTTGTTTCTGTTCTTTTATATCGCATAATTCGGTGGAATGGCCTATTGAAGTAAACAATTCGCAAAAAAAGTCAAGTGATTGCTCACGTAAGGTTGTAGAGAAAAATGAAAAAGGTCAACCTTGCCTATCTTAATTTCATGCATTGATAACCATTACTATTTCTGTCTTTCACCGGTGCATTTTACCTCAAGAATTATTCTGATCGTTATTGTACATTCCGTTTCCGTTTTATCTTGAATTATTCAATGCTTTCATTTTTATAGTGCTTTCGTTAGCGAACAAATAATACAACTTCCTGAAATCAAATTCTTCTCTTTTTTGTCACCGTATTTGCCTTTTCCGGAAATTTTCAATTACACAGTATAGATCCCGGCCACCGTATACGGTAAGTCGACCGTATGTCTCGGTATGAAATCACCATATCCTAAGACGTACATCTTCAGTAAAGCCTTAGGGCTTCAGTTTTTAAGATAATTTCACATCCAGGGAGGAATAAACTGATCAAAAAATTATAGGTAAAGAAAAAAGAATAATTCAAATGAAAATGTAATAAAATTTTGAAGATAAAAGATTTATTCAAAATCAAGTAAGTCTTTAGCTATAAAATTTATAAGCGGTCTTGAGTTCTTTTTTCGATGAATGAAATATTAAAAATCAAATTAAAATCAAAATTTCCTTTGTTTTTGTAGTCTTTCGTGGTATTAGTAATATCACCGAGTACGAAGAGAAATGTCTCGAAGTGTTGACGATTTGGGTCTTCAACAACCTTCCATACCAACAGGAGGATCGGATGGTGTTGATGGTTTGATAGATATATACAATAGCTCTACCGTTGAAGTGAAAAATTTATTGGCAAACGAATGTAATATTCTTTTCGAATGTCGGTGAGCTCATCTTGTCATTGTTTTAAAAAGTTTCTAACTAAATAAATTTTGTTTGCAAATTGTATTGTGTGGACTTCATTTTTAATTTTTTTAAAAAATAATCGTGAAATGAAATGTTGATCTTTTATGATGACATTACAGTTCCTGCGGCAATATCTTTCGGAGTAGTTTGAACTATTTGACGCACAAACGTGTTTACTGCCGTACATTACATTCGACTATTGCATCAGCATTCAGTGCTGTGGCTCTAGATTTTGCCGAAAAAGCACTTTCAGGTAAATAGTTATTCAAAAAATATCAAGACACATTCAATTCAAAAATCACAAAAAAGGAATTATTCTACTAGAAGAAGTGGATCACGCTTACTGCGAGGCGTGACCTTTTAGCCAATGATGCTATTTCTCTCATTCATATTTGTTGTCGGATAAAGGAATGTCGATGTAATTTGAAAGATAGATAGATTAACAAATATAGAGAAATAACATATTTCAGAACTTCGAAACGGCGATAATGGTAAAAAGGAAGGAGTACCACCACAGCAACAAAACAAAGGAGAGGCCGGGACATCCTCCTGTGCAAAATCTGATTCACAGCCACCGAAACGTGCAAAAGGCATTCTTAAGCGAACAAATCTTATCAACGTTATCAACAAACGCACGAAGCATTATGCATTATCATTACCGAACTCGGAAGTCAGTTTATCATTTATATCAACTACTAAAATCTTTTTCTCAGTTATAAGTATGATTATATATATAAAGAAAGACGAAAGTGAGGGAAAAATAGATTAAAAATGCTTGCCAATCTTTGGACTGAATTTCGTTCTGCTATAACTTTGTTTATGAACAAATTTATAGCACAAATTGGAATTACATACGCTACCCCGTATCTCACGTGATGTGGCAACGACAACATTCGTAGAAGGGCAACAGGTAGCTCTTTTTAACTTCTTTTCTTATCTTTATAAATCTTAAGATCTTCAAGAGAAATAATGGAATAAAATTTGAATGCGTTAAACGTTTTCCAGATCATGGAATCAATTCCACATGCGTTGGTAACCGTAGATACAATACCACCAGATCGCGTTCCAGTTCTTATTCCACAAGACAATTCAAGTCGCTATCGAGAAATGAATCTACGCAATCGCAAGGGTGATAGCTCAAAAAATGGTGTCGCTCGAAAAGTTGGATCGGAAGAAGTATTTTGTTTTATTTAATTCTTAATGTTCTTGCTAAGTGGGAGTTGGACGAAAAGAAAATCAAATTGCCAGCTCACAAGCAACAAAAAATTTAAAACTTTATTTTTTTTACAATTACAGCTTAAAATTTTGGAACGAATGGGCAAATATCAAACAATGATGGTTGATCTGAGCTTACTTACTTGCTCACACAGTGACTGCAAGGAAAAGCAACCATTTTCATCACTGTTCACGTTTGCTTATCATCTTACAGTGAAGCATAACCGCCGTGCTACATCAAACAAGCGAATCCCATGTTATCTGTGCGATTTTGAATCTCAGACGTACGCACTTTTGCTGCTTATAAGTATACTTCTAGTTTTAGTATAGTTTTTTATGACTAATTGTTTTCTGTCATTAGATGATAGTTTGGTAACTGATTTATTCAATGATGTTAATATTTCAGATACACTGCATTGATTGAACATTTAAAAAGTTTGCACGAGCAGTATTATCAGGAACATGTTACGGCACGTTCAACATCCGAAGAGCTTAAACGAGGCAGGAAGGGAAAACAAGTAAAGGTAAATATCTTTTAATTTATGTTTTATTTTGCAATTGTAGCAAAGTCTTTCAAGATTTTTTTGACTTCATTTCCGAAAAACTTTTATTTGAGACTGCACAAATGCGAGGGCGAAGCTTGAGTCCATTATCCGATGATTTTCTTGAGACAGAAGAATCATCTGATGGATCAGAAGAGATTGGATATGACTCGGCTCCTGTGCTGGAATTAATGGCAAATGTGGAAGCTGAAAATATTGAATTGGTATATTTTGCTAATCATTTTTGTTAATTTTTTTTTTGTTAAAGATATCGTTTTACATAACATAAGCATAGCTTTCAGGCGGTGAAGGATCGTATGGATTACATTATTGCAGTTGTATGTGGTGAC